TTATGTCTCAGCAAGACACAGATAAGAGGTGCTACAGACCTTCAAATAAACATGGAAGCTGATAACCATGGTCTCCCTTCCTTTTAAAAGTAGTTCGGAAGCCAGTACTATATGGCCTTAACCATATGGCAGTATATTGCTTTAGGGTTTCTAAGAGGACTGGAGTTCGGTTCCCAGCACCCGTATTGGCCTTGGCAAGCACCTGCAACTAAAATCTCCCTCTTCTGGCCTTGGCAAGCACCTGCGCTCACATGCACACATGCACACTACTATTTTAATGTATGTGCCAGGCATGGTGGTGCCTGTCCTTATGTCTATCATTCACTTGGGAGAGAAAGGCAAGCAGATCTATGTGAGTTTAACACCAGCCTGGTCTAGACAGTGAGTTCCAGGCCAACCATGCCACAAAAAGAGACCTAGTCTCAAAATAAATAAATAAATAACCTAGCAGTGGTGGGGCACACCTTTAATCCCAGCACTTGGGAGGCAGAGACAGATGGATCTCTGTGAGTATGAGCACAGCCTGGTCTACAGAGTAAGTTCCAGAACAGGCTCCAAAGCCACAGAGAAACCCTGTCCTGAAAAAAAAATAAATAATTTAAATAAATAAATTTGAATGTAGTTAGGAAGAAAATTTAACATTTTCTCTTTTAAAAGATGTGTTTTGTTTAGCCTCAATAAATTGCATCTTATCCAGCCAAAAATAAAATAAAAAATATGCTTTTGTAAAGTATGGTCTATAAGCTGAATAGTTCCTAGCCAACCTGCAGAAGGGAGCCTCACTCAAACTTTGCTCTAAATATCAAGACTAATAATAGCATACATGTATCTAGATGTTGAATAAGTTTGCTCTACATGTTTCCATACTTGAAAATAGAATTGAGCAACTTTTGTACATAACAAACTACAGCCTAGCGTGGTGGCCAAGCACATTATAAAATAACTTAAAAGTAACCAAATAACTATATTTCAGCAAATCAGAGCAGTTAAGGGGATCCCAACTAACCGCACCACGCTAATGTCAAGCAAGTGTTGACCGCAGCCAATCAGCCTGTTTCTGTGTGTTCCTGCCCTTTCTCTGGCTACGCCTATAGCCTGTTCCTGTGGCGGGGTGAAGCGCTCTGTACCAACTTGGGTCTAGAATGTCACTGGGGTATAGAACCTTTTATACTTCAGATGAATGTTAAGTCATTTAGAAACTGTGTGTGAGAGAAAGAGAATGAAAGGGGTGTGTGTGTGTGTGTGTGTGTGTGTGTGTGTGTGTGTGTGTGTGTGTGTGGTTATACTCATCCACATGTATACAGAGGCAAAAGCCAATACTGGGCTTCTTCCTCTATTGCACTCCGAGATCTTGTATTTTGAGACAAGCCCCTCACTGAACTTGGAGCTCATTTTTTCAGCTAGACCGAGTAGACACACTTCTCTCTACGCCACCCCACACCCAGCCCTGGGGATTCTAGACACGTATTACCACATGTAGCTTCATTTTGTCTTTTGTAATTAGTGTGTGTGCATGTGCGTACGTGAGTGTGAGTGCAGAGCGTGCTTGTTGATGTAAGAAGACAGCTTGTAGGAACGGGTCCTCACCTTCCGTGTTATGGGTTCTGGGAATCCAGCTGAAGTCTTCGAACTTGGCAGCGGGCTCCTGAAGCAACTCAGCCTCATTCGCGTAGTTGAGGCTTTTCTTGGTAAAGCAAAGCAGATGTTTCAAGTCAGCTTCAAGTCACTAGCAAACACGAGGGAAGGAAATGGCTTAGGTTCCTTAGTTTAATTAAGTAGGGCAAGACTTCCCAGAACAGACAGGGGCCATCAGGCCCTCTACAAGATGTGACTTCAACAGGACAAAATGCATGCCCTTGCCCATTGCCTAACCCTGCAGGGTTGCTGCAGCCAGACGCACTTGGCAAGCCCCTCCTTCAGATACAAAAATCAAAGATTCCCATGAAATTTAGAATAGCATTGAAGCACAACTTATGGACCTGGCTTCGAGCTTTTCTCTTGCTACGTTAAGATCTCCCAAAATGGACTTGGGAGTAAAAATACTCCACCAATTCGAAAGTATATTTTTCTGTCACATTTCGGTGGCCACCAGAACTGGATAAACTACAACTAATTTTTATTTCCTGAAACAGGGTCTTGCTGTGTTGCCAACGTTGACAACAGACTCATGATTCCCTCTGGCTCCACCTTAACCCTTCAAATGCTGGGACTGAAGGTCTGAGCCACCACAGCCAGCTTCAGATACTTTGGATCCTAGTTCAGACCCCTTCTTATCCATGCCACTGGCCCCCTCAAATACTCCTATCATTATGATTGACAGGTTTTTTTCCCTAGTAGTATATAAAACAACGGAACTCAGCTACTTTTTTAATTCCATTTTTATTTATTTTGTGTACATGTGTATTGTGTGGCTTGCAGGTGTGCTCTGATACATGTATGGAAGGTCACATGACAAACTGCAGGAACAAGTTCTCTGCCTCCACCGTAGAGGCTCCAGGTATCAAACCTAAGTGTCAGGTGAAAGCCAGCCTTTACTCACAGGGCCATCTCGTTGGCCCCGTCTTGGCCATGTCTAACGCATATCTCTTTGTAGATACGCTCCATTTCCTCTTCTGTGTCTGGAAGCTGAGAAGAACTAAAGCATCTATTGCAGACAACACTGATGACCCTTAAATGGGTCAGCCCGTGGGGTGAGCGAGTCCAACACCTGCAAAGTGAGGAGCCTCCAAAAATGGGAATTTCCATTGAACGATTCTACTTTTAAAAAAAAAACATTCTATCCCCTAGTAGAGATGGCCCAGCAGTAGAGAGTCACAAGCAGGAGGGAGCTCCTCTTCCCACGCTTCAGTGCCCTGGAGTTGGGGAGACTCCAGAAATACACTCGATGTGCTCACATTCCTAAGCATGCTGGGGTAAGGGTGTGCACTCCTAAGTATGTTCAGTTTAAGGTCACAGTTCAAGAAAGAAAGGTGGCACTCCAAGGGGCTGTGTTTGCTCTGTGCTGTGAGGAGACCTCACTCTGTGTGCCGCAATGGAGCCCGTCAGAGAGAGGGGTTTATTGTGGGAGTTGGCCTGTGTTAGCTTGTTTGGAGGTGAGCCCAAGGAAGCAGGAGTCTATTTTATATTAAACCTGTAAGAATAACATGATATTTAATGGTTAGGTCTATTTATATTCCCTGGGCGGAAGGATAAAAACAAGGCCAGACTTAGCACTGAAGGAGCGGTAGTGTCTCCAGTCAGCCAGGAGGGGGAGCTGTTTGGTCATGTTTGTAGCTGCACCTCTGTTTTTATCGTTGTGCAGACAAAATTATAGAACTGTCTCCCTTTTTTTTTTTTTTTGCTTGTTCCTTGCCGTTCTTGAAAAGCCTCAAGGTTGATGCTAATGTTTCTCTTTTGCTTATTCTGATGAAGGGACTAGAAGCCATCTACGAGCTGTCAGCCATAGGGGGAACTAACCGTCCCGGTTTTCCTAGCGCTGAGAAAATTCCTGAGACATAAGACTTTGAGGGGCTAAAACGGAAAGAGTCCGAAGTCAGCAAGGTAGCACTTGTCACACCAGCTGCTAGGGCTACCTGTTTCTTTCTCTGCCTGCAGCCCTTCTACGCGCCCTAGGAATTACAGAGGACGGCAGGATGCCGTAACTCATACGAGGCTGTATACGAGGCTGTAAGCAAGTTGCTCAATGTCTCTGAATCTTGATGAAATTGACTAAGGAAGACCTGGACCCACCCAAACGTAAACTCCCTAGCTTAATTTTTTTCCCCAAGCCTTTCATTAGTAATTCTTATGAATAAGAACTGGCTCTTCCAAAATCAGAAATGCCCCCTAGACAAGTTCTCAGGCTGCTGTCCCAAACTTAAAATCTCCTGCACAGAACTTCAGCATCTCTTGCTACAGCAAATGCAAGTTTTCCAACTCACACCAACTTCAAAGTCTCCTACAATGTTCCTTGTCCCCCTGGGCTGGACAGCCAGAGACTTTCTTTGCCTCCCTATGCAGGGTCGACAGACCGATGTCAGCTTGAAGTAGCTGTAGAGAATGGATCTTAGCTGGGTGCTGGTGGCGCACGCCTTTAATCCCAGCACTCGGGAGGCAGAGACAGGCAAATCTCTGTGAGTTCGAGACCAGCCTGGTCTAGAGTGAGTTCCAGGACAGGCTCCAAAGCTACAGAGAAACCCTGTCTCAAAAAAACAAAACAAAGAAAGAAAGAAGGAAAGGAAAGGAAAGGAAAGGAAAGGAAAGGAAAGGAAAGGAAAGGAAAGGAAAGGAAAGGAAAGGAAAGGAAAAGGGAAGAGAGAGAGAGAAAGCGAGAGAATGGATCTCCTCCCGGCTTCAATCCCTTGAGACCAGAGGATGCAAATGTCTGAGGCAGGAAGTGAGGTAGACCAGACAGGTGCTGGGAGTGAAGGGCAGTGTGCATGGTGGCAGGAGCTGCTTCCATCAAAGCTGCTCACAGCTGTTTAACAGAAACACATCATGGCAGCACTCCAACAACTGAGCTATAAGACCACCCAAAACTAGCTAGAACCAACACGGCCTGCACCTTATTATGCTGGTATCTCCTAATCAGCCTTGCAGCCTGCCCCTCAGTGCATCTGATGTCAGGCACATCCCAAATCCCCACACCAGGAGAGAGGAGTGAACCCTGGAAGCCCCTCCCCTTCTAACTCCGGAATAATGAGTCCCTCCATTAAACTATGCCCGGTAGAGAAGCTGCCACCCAGAAGCCTGGCAATGCAGCTTGGGAAGACCAGGCCCTCCCCTTGTCCTGGATGTGTACCACTCTCTACTTCCTAGTTAACCCCAACTTCTGCAAAAGAAAAAAGAAAGAAAACACACGAACTCAGACGCTAACATCCAAGAATAGAAACATGTACCCAATCTTCCCCATCTTCCTCCCCACAAGTCTTCCCACACACATACTGACCAACGGGTCAGGAAGGCAGATTGAGCCCAGCCACACAATAAAGCTTCCTCTTTGGGCATGGGGGTGGAGAGAGTTCAGTAGTACTGGATTCTATGTGAGTCAAAATAGCAAAACCTTTATTTAATATCGTTGGCTTCTTCTTCTTTAAAAGGAGCTAGCTGGTGGTATATGAGCTACCTACTACATTCCAGTCCAGCCTGGGCTACAGTGTACTGCTGCGTCACCAAGGATGACCTTGAATTCCTCTGACCTTCCTGCTTCCACCTCCTGGTGCTCAGATTAGGTATGTATGAATATTCTTTGTTTTACTGATTTTAGTTTTGGGAAATAGGATTTCACGTAGTCAAGCCTGGCCTCAAGCGGGCCTTGTAGGTGAGGCTGCTGTTGGACTCCTAAATTTGAACTCCTTGAACTTCTGCCTCCACCCCCCCCCACCAAGCACTAAAGCTATAGGCCTCTATCACTATATTCAGATTAATTTTTTTTTAAATCTATTTATTTGATTTTGTGAGACAAGGTTTCTTTGTGTAACCGCTGTCCTGAAACTGAGGCCTAGAGAGGCCTTGTCTGGCTCAAGACAGCAAGATCAGCAAGAAAATCACCCTTAACCTAGGCCTGTCTCGGCTCCAAGCCAGTTTTCCCGCAGAGCTATAGATGCCGAAGGATCCCATTCCTCACATACCAGGGGTCTGGGATGAAGCCTCAGGACCAGATGTTGCTATTAAACGATGCAGCTGTCATTTGTAATTTCCTTTGCTGTCCCCAGGGCCGCCGGTTTCATTTCAGTTTAAACCCAGCAGGCTCTTGCCAAACCGACGGGACAATCCCATCTGAAGCAGGACCACTGAAATCAGACCCAGGGCTCTCCGCTTTTAATCCTCTCTGCCCCTTCAGCTTAAGCCCTGGCAGCTGGGCTCCAATGCAGCAGGAGAATTCTTAAGTTCCTTTGACTCCCCATCCCCTCCCCTAAGAAAGAATGTCCCAGTAGACTTTCACATTTGCCACCCTTAGGAATCCCTTGGGTATTAGAGCCTGAGCAGAAATTACAAACAGCGCTTTGCATTTAACTCAGACAGACACCAAAACTTCTCCCTGCCTGGAGTTCCTCAGAGAGGAAAGAATGCACGGTACGCGCAGAGAGGGAGTGGCGGTGGAAAGATGCCCAAGAATGTGAAATCAACAGACCTGAGCCTACTAGCCGGAAGGGTGTGAACACAAAACCCCTTCCAGAAAAACCAAACCAGGTAGGACGCGGGGCCAGACAGGTTTAAATGCCAGTTTCTGGACTGGGAGGTAGCACGCTACCAAGCCCTCTCTCTCTCTCTCTCTCTCTCCTCCGTATTCCCTCGGGAGAAGCCAATGGTGCCACCCAGCCCTTCTCTTGAGGGTAGTCCTAAGCAGGGGTGTAAAAGTGCCGTGGAGACTGGAAATCAGCCACACAAGCGTCTATTGTTAATGTTGCAGTACAAGCTCCCAACGTTGGTGACATTTTTTTCAGACAGGTTTACTATGCATCCCGATTCTCTTTGGTCTTTGTTTTTCTTCCTTGGCCCTTTGATCTCGCCTTCACATGCTCGAAGTCGCCAAAGAACAGGCCTGTATTTGTTCCATAATTCACACGGTGTTCAGGCAGCATTCCAACCCAAAAAAGCAGTCCAAGGAAGTACAAGATCCCGAAAAGGAGGGGGAAAACATTCGGCACAAAATAGGCTTTTTTAAAAAAAAAAATTTGCTTTCTAGTTTAAAAGGAAATTTTATATTCTAATAGAGAGGAGGGAAAACCAGAAAATTAAAGTTCAAAATTTAAAAGGAGACAGTTCTCAAACAATGGCATACCGATAGCCAATAAACATTTGAAAAAAAAATATTCAATATCCTTAGTTATCTGGAAAGCTAAAATCATACTGAAATTCCATCTCACCGGAGACAGATATGAATGCCTATCATTAGAGAAAGTAACAAGCCTTGATGAGGATGGGGCCTGAGACCCTTAAACTCTGCTGATGGGTATATATTAGTCTAGCTTTTGGTTTTGTGTTTTGAGACAGGGTCTCATAGCAGCCCAAGCTAACCCCAGACTCTTTAGGTCAACCAAAGCTGAGGTTGGCCTTGCAACACTGACCCTTGTGCCCCTACTTCCTAGAATATTAAGGTTACAGGTGTACACGCTAGGATTGCGTAACCGAATGGAGCCGAAACTGTAAATGTGCTGCTTAGAAAGATAAAATCATTAGGCAATGTCTCAAGCACTTGCATATCTTCGTTACCCAAAGATAAATTTGCTCGTTGTAAATCAAATCATAACTCTGGCGGACTCTCACCTTTAGAGCTTTGGACAGACAAAGAAAGATGCTTAGAAGACACGATTCGCCTGTTGTCCCCTACGCTACACACCATCTTCCTCTGCACAGGGGTCAGCGTGCTTTCGGGGAACTGGCCATCTTGTTGTTGATAGTACAAAGGGCTAAGACTGGGAAAGGACAGACAAAAGCCTTTATTTATACGCTGTCCTCCTGATGTGGCCACCATTTAGTTCGCAAGTACCCCACACTCTAAGTTTCCATTGGATTGTTTCTGCTCTAAGACTGGGATTTGCACCCGTCAACAGGTGACGTTTTGTCCGTGAGTGTCCAGCCTGATGGCATAGTATGAAAACCTTACACCACCCTTCCCCCATCTTCCTTACGCCACAGTACAACTGCGGAACAGACTTATGTGAATTTTCTAAACTATCATTAATTAGAACCATGCGACCGAGGGGGTGAAATGAGACAGAGAGAAAGGAAGAGGAAAGAACACCTTTGGCAACACTACCCAGCCAGCGTGTAATAGAATCTGCATTTGGCTGCAGAATCTTGGACTGATTCCAGTTCAGGAAATACCAACGAAGGTGCCAGAGACACAAGGCCAGAGGGGCCGTAGCGTTTGGAATGCAAGCACTGAATTCCAGAAATCGGAAATTTTCTAACAGGCCACCAGATGGCCTCACTTTTCAGAACCATTTTATAGAGTCTGGTTTTAGACCGGTAAACTTTGCAAAGAATGACTTGGAAATCATGATCCAGAAAGGGACAGATTTTCTGATTGAAGGTTACCAATAGCAATGGAAGGATTTATTCCTAGGGTCTCCTGTGGAAAAATAAAAATAAAAATGCATTTTTAAACTGAAAGGTCTGGTGTTCTTTCTTTTCCTAGCATTAAAGACTAAAATTTTTTGAAATCCTGCTAATATTATTTCCAACCTATGGTCTCATATTTCTAAAAGTTTGTGATGCCGAAGACACTTCAATGCGTCATACGTCACTTTAATACGTCATACGTCACTTCCGAGGAAGGTGTCACTAACTGCAGGCTTCCAGTTCAGGTAAGAACGTCCATCACCTGCACCTATCACTCACGGAGTAGGTTTCTTCTGCTCCGTTTAGGGTCTCCCAATACAGTGCTTGTGTTGTTTTTTTAAGGTTATATATAGCACATGAAAGAATGGACTTAATTGGGAAACAATTTTCAAGTCCAGAGTCAGCCCGATAGGAGTCCTTAGTCGTTCCCGTTATCCATAGAGACACATACTGGCCAGGCTGGACCTCTGAACCTTCTTTCTTATTGACAAGCATGCGTTTTAACACGTTTTGTTCAAAAGGATTCTTGATAAAATGGGAAATCATTAAAAATATACACACTTTAAACAGCTTGTTTTTAACTTCAACTATGAGTAACATTCATTTGCCAGTCTGCCTGCTTGGGTGAACGGTATGCAGAGGTGTCCTGTGGCTCCTCCAACCTTGTCTCTGTTTCTTCAAAGGCACGTGATGAAACCACTTTGTAGCTTGCTCTGATGTTGCATGTGCCTGAGTAGTGCCTTTTCTTCCTTTCTTTCTCTGTATGGCAGCCCAAATCCTTGTGTTTAAGAGTGAGGGTGTGTCCATGACACAGCAGGTGTGGGGAACTCAGATGACAACATTGGGCATTGGTCCGTGTCTTCTACTTTGTCGGAAGCAAGATCTCTCATTTGACACTTGATGGAGGTGGGTCTTGTAATAATAAAGAAACTGCCTTGGCCCTCATAGGACAGAAAATTAGGTAGGCGGAGTAGACAGAAGAGAATGCTGGGAAAAAGAAGCTTAGTGGAGGAGTCACCATGATTCTCCCGCTCCAGACAGACGCAGGTTAAGATCCTCCCTGGTAAGCCAGCTCGTGGGCTACACAGAATATTAGAAATGGGTTAGAACAATATGTAAGAGCTAGCCAATGAGAAGCTGGAACTAGCCGGGCCAGGCAGTGTTTGAAAGAATACAGTTTCCGTGTAATTATTTCTGGGCATAAGCTAGCCATGCGGGCGGCCGGGTGCCGGGGACGCAGCCCTGCCGCTCCTATTTCAACAGACACTGTGGATGTCAGGCTAGCTGATGCGTGAGCTTCTTGGAATTCTCCTGCCCCCACCCACCCCTATCATTTCACTGTAGGAGTTCTTGGATTACAGACATGTGCTACCACGCCCAGAGCGTTATGGATTCTAGGCATCCAGACTCAGGTCCTCAAATGTACACAAATGTTTAACCCACTGAATCATATCCCAGAGCCACAAGGGTATCTTCATATTCTCTTCCACTCTGTGACTTGGTGCAGAAGAACACAGCCCCCTTAGAATCCACATGTTGGAAATGTCAAAGTCAAAAGATGGAAGCACCCTGGTGCTCGGCAATCAGGAACTTAACGTAACTGAGAAACTGTTTATTGTATTAAACCATTGAGACTCCTGTCTGGTAAAGCAGCTAGTACTGCCTTAGCTAGTTGGCATTGCCTTAACTAATGACTCTTTTTGAGAAAATATGAGTTTCCTCATTGAAATTCTTTTCCATCTTTCTTACCTAAGTCAAACCCCTAACATACTAGCATTTCCCATTTAGTTTCTTAAAGTTTGTACTTGAAATTGTCAATAAAACAGTGAGTCCAGCACCCTAATGCCCCTGTCTCATCCTCGTTTAATTTATGTTTCCATGACCTCACTAGCACAGAGTTCTTTCAACACATTCCACTTAGCTTTCATAGAAGCAATTATTTTTCCATACTCATTACATCAGTTTACATAAATATTTAATTAGACACCATAAATATAACAACAAACACAATTGACATGAACTGTTTGGAACCTATCGTTGATGGAGCAGAACTCCCAGGGTACACCAGAGAAGTCAATCACAAGCATTCATCCTTCTGTAGACATCAGTCAATACGCATGACACCACTAATGAATTGGTTTAGTGGCCACTGATGAACTGGATACATTGAGTTTAATTTCCTTTCTATTTCACTTGAAATGTTTTTCATGTATCTTTACACACAATATTATTCTACACCTTGACAGTTTGTTACTTACATATCAGGTCCTGGTAGTAATATTGTGTCAACTTCTTCAAACGAATTTGATAATATCATTATCTCTATATAGTGTATTATTTATCTGTTGTTTTTTGAGACAGCATCTCAGCAAGCCCAGGCTGGCCTTGAACTCTCGATCCTTCTCCCTTTGTTTCTTAAGAATTGGAAATACAAGTGTGTGCCACCATGCTGTATTAGTTATGGTTTTATTGCTGTGAAGAGACACTATGACCATGGCAACTCTTATAAAGGAGAACACTTCATTGGAGATGGCTTACAGATTCAGAGGTTTAGACAGAGAAACCTTGTCTCGAAAAACCACACACACACACACATACACACCAAAAAAAAAAAAAAAACAGATTCAGAGGTTTAGTCCATATTGTCATGGCGGGAAGCATGGCAGCATGCAGGCAGACATGATGCTGGAAAAGTAGCTAAAAGTTCTACATCTGGATTGGCAGGCAGCAGGAAAAGAGAGGGACACTGGGCCTGGCTTGAGCTTCTGAAGCCTCAAAGCCCACCCACTGTGACACATTTCTTCTAACAAGGCCACACCTCCAATAATGCTGCTCCCTGTGAGTCTACAGGGGCCAGTTTCATTCAAACCACCACACTTGCCTAGACAGATTCTTTTTCCAGTGTTGGAACTCAAACTCAGGACCTTGTACATGTTAGACAAATGCTCTACCAGTGAGCTACATTCTCACCCTTACCTCCGTATGATTTACAGAGCATGGGGCAAGCATCAGTTGAGGACCCTGGAAACAGAATACGTGACTTTGGACTCATTTTAACGGGAAAATTCCTCATTATTTTGCCCCAGAATTGTTGCTCTTTTCAGAATATTCCCTTCTTCTCTAGTTTTTTTCTTTCATGTATTTATTTGTGTGGCACGTGTTCACCACGGCACAAGTGTGGAGACTGTAGAACACACACACACAGGAGTCATGGAAATTATAGAACACACGGGAGTCGGTTCTCTCTTTCCACTGTATGGCTTCCCAGGAATTGAACTCAGATGATCAGATTAAGCAGTGATCACCTTTACCCTTTTGTTCACTTTCTTTATATAGTCTTCCCTTTATTTTTGTTTTATGTGTATGCACATTTTGCCAGCATGTATGTCTACCCATGCAGACCAACAGAGGGTGGTAGATTCCCCCACCTGGGACTGAGGGAGGTGACTGATGTGAGCCACCACGTGAGTGCTGGATCAGAATCCAGGTCCTCTGGAAGAAGAGCCAGTGATCGTCACCACTGAACCATCTTTCCAGCCTCCACTTTTTTATTTATCCAGTGTATGCTTTTGGGTGGGGTGGGGTGGGGGGGATATAGGTACACATGAATGCAACGGGACCGGAGGCATTGGAATCCCCAGGAGCTAGAGTTACAGGTAGTAATGAAACATTTGGCATGGGCTCTGGGAACTGAACTTGAATCTTCTGCAAAAGAATTGAGCACTCGAGCCCCACGGAGCCATCTCTCCAGCTCCCAAATTGTTTACATCTTGAGTCGGATTTCGTACCATATATTCTCAGAAAACCCATCTATTTCATGAGGGAGGTTTTCAAATGTCCTAGCATCAAGGCAGGCGTGGCCTCCTCTTCCTAAATGTGCCAGCTTTTAATTATGGACAATCTTAAGCACACGTATGAGCAGATGGACAGCTTAATGAACCCCCAAGTAGCCATTCCCCAGTCTCAGCAGTAATCAACATTTTCATCAATATTCTTCTGCCTAGTCCCCAGTCAGCCTTTTAAAGCAGATCACTGTAATCTTGAACGAATCCCAGGCTTCCAATGGCTCCACCCTCATAAACTTCAGTCATTTCCCCCCCCCACAGACAAGAACTTCCCTGGGAAAGCTTGACATTTTCTATGTCTGTAATTGCAATTTTTCTGGTTTTCCTTTTTTTAAATAAATAAACTATGTATCATAGTATTTCTAGTTTTCTTTCTTTTTTAAGATTTATTTAGATTATTTGCAGAGAAATTTCGCCTACAAGGCATGTAGGAATACCACGTGAATGTCTGGTGCCCACAGAGGCCAGAAGAAGGTGTCTAATCCCTCGGGACTGGATTTGCAGATGTTTATGAGTCGCTGTGTGGGTGCTGGGAGCCGGGGTCCTCTGGAAGAGCAGCTGGTGTTCTTCATCACGGATTCGTCTCTTCAGTCCCAGGTGTTTCCTTTTGAAGCAAAGATGGCTGTTACTACTCCGCTTTTACAACTCTAGTTGGCTCATTTGTTTTTCTTAGGCCAAATGCTTGCTTAGTGAGTCATGGTGTCCCCGGAGGGTATCCGTGTGCTGCTGAACACTTCAGTCTCATCCTTCACGGTGTTCTCATGTTCCCACGTTTTCTATGTGGCCTATAACTGCAGGTTGAAAATCCTGCTTTAAACTATAAATTGTTTAAAATTTTTTCTTCTTTTAAGAAAAATTTCCCTCTCCCAAAAAAATCAATAAATGAATGTATTAATTAATTTAACTAAAATTTAAATTCCCCCCTCATTTGTAAACTCATGAATGCTATTGTATTAAGCATTTATATTAATTTTTGTGGCTTTTATTTGACTTTACCCACCTCCTGGTCTTATGTTTGTTTTTATACCACACATTCTAATAACATTACATTATCATAAAAATTACCTTTGCATATATGTATTAACTTTGGAGAATTA